AAGTTCTGCGAAAGATTTATGGTCCTTTGCGCGTTGGCCACGGCGAATATCGCATTCGATGGAACGATGAGCTGTACGAGATATACGACGACATTGATATAGTTCAGCGAATTAAAAGATAACGGCTACCCGCCGGGGGAAGCAGAGGAAGAGGAAGACCTCCACTCCGTTGGAAGGACCAAGTGGAGAAAGACCTGGCTTCACTTGGAATATCTAATTGGCGCCACGTAGCGAAAAGAAGAAACGACTGGCGCGCTGTTGGTAACTCGGCTATAATCGCGTAAGCGGTGTCTACGCCAATCAAGAATGAGAAGAAGATAGTAAATTTTGGCGACAATATCAAAATGTACTCTTTTATAAATAATTATAATTGAAAAAAATCATTTTTGAAGTTTTATAAGATCGGTTGAGTGGTTAGCAAAAACTCTTAACAACCGACTTTTAACAGTTTCGAGAAAAGGGCGTTTAAAGTTTTAAATGGCTGTATATGTAGCTGATCTCGAGCGCACAATTATTCAAGTCTGTATCTCTAAAACTTGTACTCGAAATTCAGAATAATATTCCAGAAATGTTAAAGAATTAAATACGAAAATACAAAAATCTGTATATTTTTTTTTGAGGCGATCAAACTCATGTAACCCCTTAATATTTCTCTTTTGTAGGCAACATACATGTATAATATTATTGTGCTAAACGTTCTATTTTATAGAAGGAATACCCAGAGCATCACATTTTTTTTTTTTTTTTCCTATGGTAGTACAGGCACATTAGCAACAGGCATTTACAAATGATGTTTAAAGACTTCTTATTTACAAGCAGTCATTAAAAGTAACAACTTACTCGATTACGTTTCACCCAGCGACGATGACATGCTGCCTGTTGTTGCGCTTCTTGAACGCTGCAACGTCGCCCTCTTTCCAGCCATGCAGCGCGGCCTCGTGTACACTGATATGCAACCAAGCAAAAATAAACAGTAATAAAATACAAATGTTATAGATGATTCTGTTAAAGTACAATTAATCATGCAATAAGCATTCATATACCATACATAAGTATGTATGCAAATGTTTATATGAATGCATAAAGATAAGCACATAATTATATGAACAAATGTAAATGAATGCATGTTTATTTTTAATTTACAAAGTGAATAGAAAAACAAACACAATTAAAATAATATCTTAGTCTATAACATATGCGTCTTAATTCATGTAAAACTTAATATTTTACATACATGTCAATTCGTTTGTGTTTTATATGGGACACCAGTTTTATATAAAGTTATGGTTAATTTTACACTAATTTCGCACCTTATACATTCTAAAATTTTTGAATTGAAAAAGAAAAAATAGAACACATTCAAAAATTAAAGCTGAATTTGTTTGCAGTTTCAGAAAATATTTCAAGTGTAAAAGGTAACTTTAAGAAATCGAGTTGACTTTAATGCGAACATTATATAAATATTTGTAATTTTTTCTTCCATTACTTAAAAACGGCGAAGTTACATGCTTGATAAGCAGTTTTCTCGCACGTATCTTAAAAATTTAAATAATATTTGTAATATTTCGTCACCTAAAATGCAAAACAACGTAGTATCATCAAAAATTTCGAATTTGGTTACGATTAACATATTCCATATATGTATATACATATGTATGTAAATACAAAAATTTAAATTTAGCGAATGTGTGATCATGGATACTAATGTTCCATGTACTACAAAAAAATTTTTTTTGGAATGGACTTTAGTCGGTAAAATTTTGATAGGGAATATGTTCTCAAATATATGTTAGTTTAATGCTCAAAGCAAAGGCAATCAATCAACTCAGAGCATACCCTAGCGACGATATTTTCAACTTGAATTTGACCCTTGTCAATACAAATATGTTCGGTATTTTAATAAAATTAAGTGGAAATGTTTTCTTAAACATCATGTCATTTTGCGTTAAATAAGGTTAAACAAAAATATTTGAATGATACGTTGCGGCATACCTCTCGTTCATTCTTCCATTTAAATTACGCGAGAGTATGTACTATGCGGCGCTCGAATTCAATCTTTCCTTACTTGTTTCATAAAAATTTTTACATTCCGAAACATTTATGTTGATGATATGAACAATATTTTGTTTCAGAAAACAAAAATAACACAAGACGCAGAATAAAGTATAATGGTGAATTTTAGAATAGCATCCCCCGATTTCTTTTTTGAGATATTTGCATTATAGTTCGATTTAATGTGTGAGTTTCTCCAATTTATAATCAATTTTATACTTATATTTTTAAATTTTATATACACTAACCCTTCACTGATTCATCTCTACCCATTTATTTAATTTTAATTCAATATTTAACTTTTCTTCAATAATTTTTGTTTATACAATAACAAAAGTTTTGCATTCTAACATACAAATCATCCAAAAGAATAAAGAAACCAAATAATATCCAAATGGCAGGAATTAAAAAACGCATTATTCGTTTTTCAAATATAATTCTTTTTGCATTGTCGGCACTCAGCCACACTTAAAAAAAAGGAATAACCATGGTAGATCTAGCACAGATGGATCTTTCGCATGTAACTCTCTCTTGAGTGGCTTCAAAATAATAACCCTGTTCGGACCATGCGTCTTCAGTTCTTTCGCGTAGAATTCCTTTCCTTGCCTTCGGTCGAGCAGGATTTATCTATAGAAAGGAAATTATGAAAGTTTGAGTTATATTGACGGTAATAATAAGTTTAATCTGTAGAGCCTCCCATTTTAACCCCAAAATCGGGCGATAYTATTTTAAATACCAACCAAATGTAATTAAAAAAAAAAAGAACATCTTATTTTTTTTTGTCCACTGTAAACTTGTGAAACGTAATGTTATGTTATTTCGAATTTCAAATGACGAAATATAAGTAATATTCACGATAATACGAAAAGTTAACAAAATTTTAAAAATCAAACTTTGGCACAATAAATATCGTCATATAAATATTTACAAACTTCATAAATTTCTTCTACTAAGCATGCAAAATATGTTGCATGAAACAAAATGGATTTATTGGTGGTAATAGTTCCAAATAAGATGGTAAACAATTTATAGAAAGTGTATAATTTTAATATTATCTGATATCATCTTACTGTTTTCATAAAAATGTGCAAAGGTTGTTGATGCGGTTAAAAAAATGTATTACACATCATGTTCCCAAATATCTTTGGTTGTGGTAAAAAAGCAATAAAATAATAAAACAATATATGCAAGCGAGGATGGATGTGTAGAAGTTCACGCAAGTGAGGAAAGTTCTCTGATCACCATTCACTTGGGCGTGGGCAGAAACGATTCTTTCCCATATGGCTCAAGCAGCTCACGTTTTCCGGTCTTTGTCCAAGTATCTTCTGGGTAGCCAAAGAATATCCGTTTGAAGCGGAGGTAAAGTAAAAAGGCGAAAAATCCCCTCCACAGCGTTGCGCGCTGGGTTTGGGACCCGCTACGTAAAAAACGTCCTCAATGAAAATATACCAACTGCCTCGGATGAGAGACCGCCCTTTTGATGACCACTATGAAAAACGAAATAAGAATTACGATTTGATGGCATGCACCTGGAATATCCGGTCCCTAAATTGGGAAGGTGCGCTGCCCAGCTGGTTGATGTTCTCGTGAAAATAAAGGCTGACATCATCACCGTCCAAAAAATGCGATGGGCAGAAACAGGGCTGACCCGAGTAGGGCCTTGTGGAATTTAAGGAGCGAGTTGAGATGGCTTCACCGGAGTCCGAAATATGGTTATCTGTAGTACCAGATTTCACTATAGAAAAATACTCCAAGTTTACGGGCTGTCTGCGGATCGAAAAACCACCAACCAGATCGATCACGTTGTGATAGACTTAAAACACGTCTCCAGTGTTTCAGATGTRCGTACGTTCCCAGCTCCTAACATCGACTCGGACCACTATCTTTTTGCAGCCAAGATTCGCACCCGCCTCTGTGCAGCAAAAAACGCACGCCAACAAACACAAGGACGTCGAGAAGCTGCAATCACAACAGACAGGCGAACGATTTTCTACTCGGCTTGTACTTGTGCCCTCTGAAAACATTCGTCAACAACTTGGTATAAGGGAACTGTGGGACGGCTCAAGCTTCACACGTACAGCTGCAATCGAAACTCTTGGTGCGATGAAAAGCGCTGAGTCAACCCGTGCGGGATGGATTAGATACCGAGAGTTGAACAGGGAAGAGAGACGCATTTGATATCATTGTCCTCAACACCCGCGCCGCTAGACTGGATAAAAGAGCAAATCAAATACTATAGGTCTGGCAGTCACCGAGGGCAGAACGAAATATCTCCTGTCATCAAACAAACAGTAGTCGCACTGACTGTCATTATAACTTCGAACTGTAGATAATTTCGCCCAAACCAAACTCTTTAAGTTACGCATTATTAACATCCTCCTATATGGTGCAGAGACATGCACGATGACTACATTACAAGTTTTTGAGAGAAGATTTATGGTCATATTCGTGTTGGCGAATACCGAAATGAAAGTAATCTACACTATACCCGMCGGGGAAGTAGAGGAAGAGGAAGACCTCCACTCCGTTGGAAAGACCAGGGGGAGAAGAATCTGGCTTCGCTTGGAATCTCCAATTAGCGCCATTTTGCGAAAAGAAGGAACGATTGGCGCGCTGCTGCTAACTCGGCTATAACCGCGTAAGCGCTGTCTGCGCCAGTAGAAAGGAACAATATCAACCTCATTAGGTTTTCCGCATACTCGGTCAGACGGAACGAGATGTTTTAATTTAAATACATATATCTATTGAGCATCAATCATCATTTTTTATTACCAAACTACACCATGTCAAAAGGAATAGTCCACTAAGTTTTGTTATGGTATGAAGTCAACCAACATAACAAATAATTATATAGTTATATGATGGTTGGAGGATGAACCATTTATAGTGCGCTTAATTTCATTAAAATATATCAAAAATTGTAACTCCAAATGTTCCGCATAAAATTAGTCAAATAGTTACGAATAAATTATATTTTACCTACAAGTAAATGCAACAACCACTATTGTCCATTTAAACTACAAGTATATAAAATCCACATTCAAGCTTATGTACTATATTTAACGAATTAAATGAAATGCCAAACTCTAAAGTCTCAATTATTGACTGATTGGGAATTAAAATAAACCACTTTAATTATTTTCGATAAAGGATATTCTATGAGCTTAGCTACTTATCAAATCTGCCTACACTCTCTGGAGGCTAAAGAGTCTTAAAGAACAATTGTAGCAGATTACACCGTTTTCACGGACAGATACTATGTCAGCCGATTGGCTATTGTTCTCATCGTTCTGTCAATTATGATATTATATATTTGGTAAGTAAGATTATTTACACATTCTGAAAATGGAATAAATCGAACTACATCTGATTTTATCATTATTCATTATACAAATCAAGCATCAATTAATATATTATAATATATGCCCTCTCATTCTCGAATCTGCTGAAGTGATAACTCGAAGGCAAATGATCCGATTAAACGGAAGATATCTTGTAATGTAAGATAAGTTTTTATCTTTGGCTTTCATCGATGTAGAAGGCCGGAACACTGCAGCGCAGTCGGAGATCTCGCATAACTCAACAAATATCATTTTTTTTTTTTTTCTAAAAGTTTCAGTACAATTGATACAGTAGTTTTCTTTTAAAAAATTTCCCCAAAAATTAAAATTTTTTTAGGCTTTCATAATAGGTATACCAACATTATACATTTTGAAATGGTTGAAATATAAATGCAGCCACCACTATTGTCCATTTAAACTACAAGTATATAAAATCCACATTCAAGCTTTCTGTACTATATTTAACGATTTAAATTTAAAAAATTACTAAATTTCAAAGTCTCAATTATTGGCTGATTGGGAATTAAAATATACTACTTTAATTATTTTCGA